TTTCTTTCACCCTGTGCTCCTGTTACCTAGCAGTAAAATAGGTACCTGGGTGTTAGTCAGCTGTCACGGGCTGCTTCCTGGGGGTGGAGGCCTGGTCGAGGACCGGGCCGCGGGGACACTAAAGCCTCGAAATCATCTCAAGATAACCCCCCCTCCCCCGAGCTGATTGGACTGAAAGAAAAAAATAACGTGCGTGTATATATAAATTTCTGGGATCGTGCCAGGAGGCTTCTGGGTTGCATCTTTCCCTTTCGCTTGACGTATTGACCTTAATCAGTGGCAGATAAGTTATTCCTTGTTGATGTTTGATAAACATTCTGCTGTGACCCAGACCTGACCACTCGAACGTTTTATTAATTAATTAAACTAATTTATTTATTTATATACAAGAGGGTACATTGGAAGGTTTGTGAGAGTACATTATATTGGTCTTATATTCGTGCAAAGCCACTAACGCGTATAACGTTTCGGGCAGGTCCTTCATCTAACTGATAAGTTTATTAAGAGGTTCATTGCAGCAATAATTTAGTTTAACATAATAACTACTTGATGAAAATTGATGGAAACGTTAATCTTTGGGTTTTTGTGCGTTCATTTTTACAATGACAGTGTTTTCTGCACGCACACCCTTGCAGATGTTTTTTTGCATGCGCGACCATGCAGGTGTTTTTTTGCACGCGCGACCATGCAGGTGTTTTTTTGCACGCGCGACCATGCAGGTGTTTTTTTGCACGCGCGACCATGCAGGTGTTTTTTTGCACGCGCGACCATGCAGGTGTTTTTTTGCACGCGCGACCATGCAGGTGTTTTTTTGCATGCGCGACCATGCAGGTGTTTTTTTGCACGCGCGACCATGCAGGTGTTTTCTGCACGCACTGCCACAGGTGTATTCTACACATGCAACGGTGGAGATGTGTTCTGGAGGCACACCTGCGCAGGTGATACAGAAAACCTGTATTTAACAACACCACAAGGGGAAGACAGTTATAAGAAACAATAAGATAAAAAGACTTGGGAGTTGACATAATTCCAATATTATCACTAGAAGCTCATGTGAACAGCATAACATCAGCAGCATATGGGAAGTTAGCATAAATAAGAACGTCATTAAAGAATCTAAACATGAGGCTTTCAAGCCCATACACTCTTCCTGTGTGAGTACATTGCTCGAGTGTGCAGCACCAGCATGGAATACACACCTCGTAAAACATAAAAACAGAAATTTTAGGAAGTTCTGAGGTTTGCAAGTAGACTACCCCCAGTATTGAGAGGCCTCACCTATGAGGACAGGTTAGAAGAACTCTTCATCACAACCTTAGAAACTGAGGGAACATGATAACTGCATGCGAGATTTATAGAAGAATAGGTAATACGGAGAAAGGAAAGCCAATTTAAAATTAAAGCGGTATGACAAGAGGGCATGAGTAAGCTCTTATTGTATATACAACGAGAAGTATACCTTTTGGCCTACATTTACCTGACTTAGCTGAGGACCACCATCTCTGAAGTGGCTCGACGGGGACTGGAAGCCGGCGGCTTGTCTTAAGATCTCCCATTTTTATGTGTGTGTGTCTGCTTGTATTCCGCTTGTGCAGTTATGTGCATTTACCACTGTGACATTAAACAAATCCACAAGGGCCGTGACGAGGATTCGAACCTGCGTCCGAGAGCATCCCAGACGCTGCCTTAATCGACTGAGCTACGACCTGGTCAAAAGGAGTTGAAACCGAAGTTCTATTGAACTTACTGGATCCTGCAGCCTCTCCAAGGCACGAACGTAAGATCCAGTAAGTTCAGTAGAACTTCGGTTTCAACTCCTTTTGACCATGTTGTAGCTCAGTCGATTAAGGCAGCGTCTGGGATGCTCTCGGACGCAGGTTCGAATCCTCGTCACTGCCCTTGTGGATTTGTTCATTGCATCACGCAATTGTGATTTCTGTGTGCACTGTGACATTTATTAATTATTGCTAGTAGGAGTAAATAAATAATTCGTAACAAAATTATAATATGAATAACGGCTCCTTAAAATAACTTAAATAATTTCGCATTGAACTAAAATGTTAATGAACAAATCTGAAAACAAATTTTGGCTGACCGTCATAGCCTTTTTCTTAAACATTAAAAATATTTTAAAATGTATCCCCCCCTAACAGTAGCTTTTGTTTTCTTTAAAAATTGAGTACCAAAGAAAATATTTAGGGGAGACTAAATCAATACATTGTAACTTCTTCAAATCCAATTAAAATCAAATCAAATGTTTATTCAGGTAAAAGTACATACATACAAGGTGAGTTACAAACATAATGTTGGATTTATAGATATAGTATGTTAGAGTAAGTACATACAATGCCTAAAGTCACTAATACGCACAGCGTTTCGGGCAAGGTGTGGGGAAAAACACTTGGACTAAAACATAATACTAATTGAGATCAAAGAACAAATTGAGTTGAAAAGGCGTGGGGGGGGGGCATGGCGGAAATCAGTAGTTATACAAGTTAGTCAATAAACAGCATTGTTTGAAAATAACAGGACATAAGTTGACATTTAGGGGGTAAGATAGGTTACATTGAGTTTATTAGGTAGTACTTAGTCTTTCTCTTAAACTGGTTGAGAGAGGTACAGCCTTTGACGTGATTGGGAAGGTCATTTCACATTTTGGGTCCCTTGATTTGCAGATCATTTCCAATTTGGTTTAGTCGTACTCTTGGAATATCAAATAGATATTTGTTTCTGGTGTGGTGCCCATGGGTTCTGTTACAACCGTCTACGAAGCGTTTAAAGTCAGGATTGCCATTACAGTTCAGAGTTTTAAATATATAGAGTACACTTGAGAGGATGTCCAGTGACTTAATATCTAACATATTCAAAGATTTAAGTAAAGGCGCCGAGTGCTGTCTGAGACCAGTTTGTTATTGTTCTAGGAGCAGATTTGTGTTGAGTAATTAGAGGACGTAGATGATTTTGGGTAGCAAAACCCCAAGCACAAGGACCATATACTTGAGATATGGATAGATGAGAGAGTAATAGAGCGTCACCAGGGCAGGGTGAGGTACATAATATCTCATCTTAGATAGAATGCCAACAGTTTTAGAAATTTGTTTGCTATATTTTTGAATGTGTCCCTGGAAATTCAGCTTGTTATCGATGAGAACACCAAGGAATTTACCATCTACTTTGTTACTAATTTGGATATTGCTTATTCTTAGATTATTTGATCTGAGGATTTATTACCAAACAAAATTTGGCAGTCTCCGTGGTGTAGTGGTAAGTCACTCGCCTGGCGTTCCGCGAGCGCTATGTCATGGGTTCGCATCCTGGCCGGGGAGGATTTACTGGGCGCAATTCCTTAACTGTAGCCTCTGTTTAACGCAACAGTAAAATGTGTACTTGGATGAAAAAACGATTCTTCGCGGCAGGGAATCGTATTCCAGGGACCATAGGATTAAGGACTTGCCCGAAACGCTACGCGTACTAGTGGCTGTACAAGAATGTAACAACTCTTGTATATATCTCAAAAAAAAAAAAAAAAAAAAAAAAAAAAAATATAGAAGGTTTTATCAATGACTCCATAATGATGTAATTTGAGAAGGCTATGGTGGTTGACAGTGTCAAAAACCTTAGCCCGAAACGCTATACGTATTAGTGGCTTTAGGTATTTGTATGTACTAGCTCTGTCTATAAATAATCAGAATGTTTGTAACTCTGCATCTATGTATGTACTTTTCCTAAATAAAATATTATTTTATTATTATTATTATTATTATTATTATTATTATTATTATTATTATTATTGTGTAGGTCAACAAATAACCCAACAGGGAACTCATTTTTATCAGTGCGTCCTGGGATAATCCCGGGCTTAGGTTCGAACCTTGTGGATTTGTTCATTTGATATATCACGCTATTGTGATTCCTGTGTGTATTGAAGTAAGGGCGTAGAGGTAAATCATCTGGTTGACAGAGCCCGGGTGCATGGGGGGAAGTGTATGAAACCCCGGGTTGTGCTTCGGAGAAGCTGCAGGATCCTCGTGAGGGCAGTAGCACTCCAGGTTGCAATTCTTTTAACCATGTCGTGGCACAGTTGACTAGGCACGTCTGGGATCATCCCGGGCGTAAGTTCGAACCCTCATCACGGCCCTTGTGGATTTGTTCATTTGATATATCACGCTATTGTGATTTCTGTATATATATAATGGAAAAACCACATGTGAAAAAATAGAGAATGCTAAACGCATTTTCGGCTCAATTCGCCTTCATCAGAGCAAAGTAGAAATTATTTCCATTTTGCTCTGATGAAGGCAAATTGAGCCGAAAACACGTTTAGTATTCTCTACCCAAAATCCAAGTTTTACGTCATATCCACTCGTCTCTTTGTCTTGGTAGCATTGTTATGCATGGCCTAGGTTCGGTAATTTGGTTTACCTCATATTGCCTCAGTCTCCGTGGTGCAGTGGTATAACACTTCCCCCGTGCTTCGCGAGCGATTTGGCCTGGGTTCGTATCCTGGCCGGAGTGGTTTGACTAGGCACCAATCCTTAACTGTACGCCTCTGTTCACCCATCAATGAATGGGTACCTGGTTGTTAAACGATTTGGCGCATCGTATTCCAGGGATAATTAAGATTAATAACCTGCCCGAAACGCTATGCGTGCTAGTGGCTTTTCAAGAATATAAGATCTTTATTAGTGAATCTTCACTCTATTGTGAACTCAATTTGCGTTGACAGGAATAAAAGACGGACATAGCAACACTGACGAAGGAACGCGCATCTCTGGTATTGCTGCATACGTGAGTTTGATCCCATCCTATTGCCTTTATATATATACTTTGCACAAGTGCATGCAAACCTGCGCATGTATGCATGCATGCATGTGGTTAGATTATATAGTATCTCACTGAGTATATAATAGTGAATTAAATTAAAAAAAAATGTGAAATGGGGCTGAAACAGACAAACAACATTTTATTTAAAATCCTCAATATTATTGTTACAATGTCTTCTACATCGGGAGGATTTGGGACGTTTCTTCAGCAGTGCTCTCGACTCCCTCTGTTGTTCGTCTTAGATCCTTGAACTGTTGTGGCGCCTGCAGGGTCTCCGTCTGCTCTTGGCCAGGACAACACCCACACAACCGTTGCAAGAGCATGTAGACGAGGTAAGCCAGAAACAGGGGCAACCCGGTGAGCAAGAATGTAGTTATTATCGGAACAGAGGCGAGGTCACTGTAAACAACAACAAAACCTGTTAATTTCACATTAGTCACCGCTATAGAACATTGCTTTACTCTGCTGCCACCGGCCACCATCTATAGATACAAAGAAGGAGTTATATAAGCTACCAACATTAACAGAACTGAGATTTATAATAATACAAAAATATATATTTAAGTAAGGCTCCAGGTTGTGATTTATTTGTTAGGTTAAACAGTGTAAAGCACTCAGTGTTCCTGTATGAAACTGTTTAGTATATAAATTACCTCATGGCTCCTGGAACAATGTTGACGGTGGTTACGAGGTGGATACAAGAGCAACCTGTAGCTACTCAACCTGTAGCCACTCAACCTGCAGTCACTCAACCTGCTGTCACTCAACCTGCAGCCACTCAACCTGCTGCCACTCAACCTGCAGCCACCCAACCTGCTGCCACTCAACCTGCAGCCACCCAACCTGCAGCCACTCAACCTGCTGCCACTCAACCTGCAGCCACTCAACCTGCAGCCACTCAACCTGCTGCCACTCAACCTGCAGTCACTCAACCTGCAGCCACTCAACCTGCAGCCACTCAACCTGCTGCCACTCAACCTGCAGCCACTCAACCTGCAGCCACTCAACCTGCTGCCACTCAACCTGCTGCCACTCAACCTGCAGCCACTCAACCTGCAGTCACTCAACTTGCAGCCACTCAACTTGCAGCCACTCAACCTGCAGCCACCCAACCTGCAGCCACTCAACCTGCAGCCACTCAACCTGCTGCCACTCAACCTGCTGCCACTCAACCTGCAGCGACTCAACCTGCAGTCACTCAACCTGCAGCCACTCAACCTGCAGCCACTCAACCTGTAGCCACTCAACCTGCAGCCACTCAACCTGCAGCCACTCAACCTGCAGCCACTCAACCTGCAGCCACTCAACCTGCAGCCACTCAACCTGCTGCCACTCAACCTGCAGTCACTCAACCTGCAGCCACTCAATTTGCAGTCACTCAACCTGCTGCCACTCAACCTGCAGCCACTCAACCTGCTGCCACTCAACCTGCTGCCACTCAACCTGCAGCGACTCAACCTGCAGTCACTCAACCTGCAGCCACTCAACCTGCAGCCACTCAACCTGTAGCCACTCAACCTGCAGCCACTCAACCTGCAGCCACTCAACCTGCAGCCACTCAACCTGCAGCCACTCAACCTGCAGCCACTCAACCTGCAGCCACTCAACCTGCAGCCACTCAACCTGCTGCCACTCAACCTGCAGCCACTCAACCTGCTGCCACTCAACCTGCTGCCACTCAACCTGCTGCCACTCAACCTGCAGTCACTCAACCTGCAGTCACTCAACCTGCAGCCACTCAATTTGCAGTCACTCAACCTGCTGCCCCTCAACCTGCAGCCACTCAACCTGCTGCCACTCGACCTGCTGCCACTCAACCTGCAGCCACTTGACCTGCTGCCACTCAACCTGCAACCACTCAACCTGCAGCCACTCAACCTGCAGCCACTCAACCTGCAGTCACTCAACCTGTAGCCACTCAACCTGCACCCACTCAACCTGTAGCCACTCAACCTGCAGCCACTCAACCTGTAGCCACTCAACCTGCAGCCACTCAACCTGCAGCCACTCAACCTGCAGCCACTCAACCTGCAGCCACTCAACCTGTAGCCACTCAACCTGCAGCCACTCAACCTGCTGCCTCTCAACCTGCAGCCACTCAACCTGCAGCCACTCAACCTGCAGCCACTCAACCTGTAGCCACTCAACCTGCAGCCACTCAACCTGCAGCCACTCAACCTGTAGCCACTCAACCTGCACCCACTCAACCTGTAGCCACTCAACCTGCAGCCACTCAACCTGCAGCCACTCAACCTGCAGCCACTCAACCTGTAGCCACTCAACCTGCAGCCACTCAACCTGCAGCCACTCAACCTGTAGCCACTCAACCTGCAGCCACTGAAGTATTTGTGCAACCTACACTTGAAACTGATGTCCGCTCTACAGCATCGTGCCCAAAACTGAAGTACACAGGTCGTTGTAGTACAGTCAGGTGCGTTCTCGACTCACAATCGGGAATTCCGGGTTCGAATCCCAGGTGGGACAAAAATGGTTGGACGCGTTATCTATCACCTAATGTCCTGTTCACTTAGTAGTAAATAAGTACCCAGTTAGTCAACATGTGTTGGGGGGTTAGATGCCGGGGAGAGTCACTAGTTCGACCTGGGGAACGCTGGCTACCTGATCCCCGACACAATGAATTATTATAATAATTATTATAGTTTAAATTGGGTAAAAGAAAGGCACGGTAAAGCTTGATAATAACTCCCTCATTTGTTGGGCTGAACGGGTAGCGACCTGTGACAGGTCATTACGTCAAAGCTCACTGTGTATTGGTGGACTAAATGCTCATTGCTAAGCTAAGGAAGAACACATGAAGACTCAGCCTGTGTCTGCAGAACTGTCATAGGAACGTGAAGTGTAAGGGCAGGTGTGTGAGTTGTATAATAACTTGAGATATTAAATATGAATTGCAGAGCGTGTTTGCCTAATTCTATATATTTATACGCTATTTGTTTAGCTTAAGATTCCTGCTATCATAAAACCTGTATCATTTTGTATGCCAACTTGAACGTTGCTCAACTAATATATGCTATAACTTGATACCATTTCCTAGGTTCAGAACCCAAACATGAAAATCTTTGCCAATTTTTCGTATATTTTAAGCCTATCAAAGTCGTCCTTGAAACAATTCTAAGTTCCCTTGTAAAATTATGGCTTGTCCTATTTTAGTCTTCTGAAAATTGGCTAATATTTGTTCAATCCAATTTTTAATTCGTTCCGATCCTATTTTTAATTCGTTCCGATCCTGTTTTTAATTCGTTTCCCACGCGAATTTTACGTAATTGTGAACTGATCTTATCGTTGCCTTTTAAATAACCATCATCTAATATAATTTAAGATGTCCTCTCCAATACTATCCGACACTACATCGTTAATTAGTATATTGTGACGTACACTAACGAAAATTTGGCTAACGTTAAGGTGTTTAATGTTTTAGTCCATTTCGACTAGGGACTGCTTAAGATGTACACACACACACACACAGAGCCGAGAGAAGCACTATGTTAAGCAGTTTATTACAGTGGCAATTATCGTTTAGATCCAAACTGAAAGTAACAACGGTGTCCAATATTCACTGTATTTTCTGGAGATTCTCTGATAGAAATTGGGTAATACCTGACCAGCCGCATGCCTGTGAGTCAGCGCCCTTAAGGTATACTGACCCCAGCTGGTGCATATCGTCACCCAACACTGGAACTGGCGTTATATTTGAGTAACATTTTGGTTATAAGTTCCGCTGTCGGGGAAACTAAGCCTGTACTTAGCTTCCTCGAGGTCTCCCTTGACCAACTACAGACCTTCCCCAAGATGCTCCTGCAACAGTTCCCTAAATCCCTGGTACCTATCTACTGCAAGATGGCCAGAGGTCCCTCGATTGTAAGCAGAGGGCGTAGACCATTATGATACAAAAAACTTTTCTATTGAAGCTTATATATTAGGTTACTTGTAGGGGGTCTGGAGGGAGAGCTTGAGGACGAACATGGCCACGGGCACGTTCTGGATGGCAGTTTCGAGGCTGACGGCGATTATTTGCTTCCTGGGGAGGCACATGAGTCTGGCGAGGAGGGCGCCGAAGGTGTAGCCGCAGCCAAGCATCAGCACCCCGGCCAGCACCGTCCGCCAGGTCATCATCACCGCGCCCTTGTACGAGTTGTACGTCCCCACCTGCACGGTACACGTGTAAACAACACCTGTAAACAACACCTGTAGGCAGGTACACCGGTTTCCTCTCCACACCGCGCTGACGACACGTGCTCATCAGGTAAATTATTAACAAAACGATATTGTCAGCGTGGTATCAAAATATGTACGTCACTAAACACTCTGGTTAATTCAAAATAAATATGCTACGATGAAAATTTGCTGTACTTACAGAAATGAAGAGCAAGATGACGAAGGTGGAGAAAGGCCTGAGGATCTGATCACATCTGGTTGCCCAGCTTGGTTTCTTCCACCTAATATCAATGTATTAATAGTCAAACGAAGTATGAAATGCATATCGAAAAATAAAAAAGGGAAAGACGAACATTATGAACGAATGCCATTTTAATTTTAGATAATTTTAAAGTTATTCTTTTATATATTACACTTATTCTCATTTAAAATCATCAACCTGTTAAGACACTTTTGTTTTTGACAGTCCTTTGTAAATCATATTAAAGCTGCAGCACATGTAAAGCTATGATTATTGATATTTAAATATTTTATGTAGAATGTACATCAATGCACTTATAAAGATATGGAACAAGCAAAGCAACTCTTGGTTCAGTAAACAATGCAGAGAAGAGGAGGAAATAAAAAAAAGAAAAATAATTAACTATTCAGAGAACTTAGAACAAACGAAAGAGAGAGAGAGAGAGAGAGAGAGAGAGAGAGAGAGAGAGAGAGAGAGAGAGAGAGAGAGAGGAGGGGGGGGGGGGAGGGAGGAAGGAAGGACGTGTACAAGATGGAAACACATAATGGGATAACTGCAGAAACACCGACTGTAAATGATTAGAGTAAGCATCAAAATTTACTGTTTTTCACAACCCCTGATTTGATTTCTGACTCCTTGAAAAGCGTAATGGAGAGGGGGGGGGCACTTAAGACAGTGATATGTCTTAAAGTATGATACTTGGGCCGGTCAAGACTGGCCTACGACACTCCCATACCCCCATGTTTCATGTGTGGAAGTTGGGGGAGGTTAGCCCCAAGCGTCTGACCTCCTACTTCAGACACACATTCTTTTTTTTATTGATAAAGAGGGGGAGAGTACCTGATGAACACCTGTTTGGGGGGGAGGGAGTACCTGATGAGCTGGAGGAGAGTACCTGATGAGCTGGAGGAGAGTACCTGATGAGCTGGAGGAGAGTACCTGATGAGCTGGAGGAGAGTACCT